CTTCATTATGTATTTTTCCAGTGTCCCTGACAGTTAGTGTGTGGGGGGGTTTGTTTTGGGTTTGGGGTTTTTTTTCGGGTTTTGTTGTTGGTTTTTTTTGGTTGGTTGGTTGGTTGGTTGGTTTTTTTCATCCACAATTTAGGAGGTTTGTTTGAAAAATGTATGTTCTAAAACAATCTTTTGCACCCTTCAATTTTTGTGTGTGTGTGTTTATCTACAGAACTTATGAACAAACGCATAGGTTCACACATTCATACTGTGATGAAGAGTGATAAAGGACAGTGTTGAAATACTCCTGGGCTACTACTGCTCTGGACATTATTTCCCTTGAAACTGGAATTTCAGATACGGTGTTAGAAGATCTTGCAGCATTGTAAGTACTATTTCTGCCTCTTGTTGCTGTTTGATGTTTGGTTTCCTGAGAAAAAATAATGCAGAAGATCTACAAAGAAAGTGATTTTACATTTTTGAAATACTTGCCAGATGACTGGTTTATACCTCGGACATGAGCTACAGAGGGGGATCTATTCAGAACAGCCATGTCATGGAGCAGCTGTTGCATGATTTATACTTGTCATCGCATTCTCAATTTATAGGCTTAATTTTTCATGGATTATGCATTGAACTTTCCAGTAGTTCGTTTGCCCTTACATTTCCCTAAGGTTTAGACAAAAATTAAAAAAGTTACCAGCCTTAAGGATGAGTATTTCTTACTTTATCATGTCATGTTGCTGTTGGAAACCTCTTTTGAGTGTTGGTGGTATCCAAGGAATGCCCAGGATTTAGAGGATGAATCTGTATGTTCATATGCTGAGCAGAAAAGTACAACTGCTCTTTCTGATGACCTCTAGCTTTTTTACCCAGGTGGTCCATTTATCAAGATTACAATGCAGCGTGGCTAATTTTATTTGTTAGTTCCAACAGCTGTCATCTTAATGCAGGGGTTTGTGTCGGTCCTGTAGTCCAAACTGGAATCATTATGCTCATGTGTTCTTACTTCCGGTTACCCATGCTGCTTCAGTGACATGACACCTGACACCAGAAGAATCAGAAAGCTATCCCAGAGTTTGCCAAATGGAAATAACAGGGCAGTGGGAAGTCCTCATTGTTAAAAGGCTGTGTGCATTCATTTTATGTCCCTGTAATTTGATCGGTAATTGATTCAGTTACTTGAGGCTGAGCTTTCCAGACAGTTCTATTCCATCAGGTAATTTGAATTCGCTTCTGGGGATATGTGTGTGTGAATGATGCTGGAAAAGTGATCTCACTGCCCTACTTGGTAGATGTTGCATTTTGGAAAAAAGCAAAACAAAACCCAAACAAACATGAGAAGATTGTTGCCCTAATTTTGTTTTGATGAGTATTTTTCTGGTCTTCAGGTATGCAAGGACGTCACTGGCTTTGTTCCTCATGCTGTAGCTGGTTCCTTTATTCATGTTTGTCCTTTTGTATTTCTTTGATATGTTGAGATTATTGTAGGTTTTAATTTTTTGATAACAGGATCAGAAAAGGGAAAAGCTCCCTGCTTCTCTTCAGACACTGACATACCAACCCAAGAGTCATTTTGTTACGCATGAGCATCAAGGAACAAGGCCCTGGACAGATCTCTTTCTGTATCCTTGCAACGCAATCAATTCATTGTTTCAATCATCTTTCAGAAAATCCATGGAAACTGAACATGAAATGGCCATGAACTTGAATAAAACTTGCCTTTGGTTTTGCCTGCAATGTTAGAGAAGTGGACAGATGTGGTAAATATTGTAGAAACTTGGTTAATAGAAAGAGGAAAGATTCTATAGCTCTGGTCTCACGCTAAAGCAGAGAAACTATCAGAAGGTCACTGTGTTTGTGAAGCTGCATTGTCTGATGTGAAGCTGTATTGTCTAAGAAACTGCATACGTGATAGAAAGAATAAAACAACAGGATGGGAAAAGTAGTGAAAGTAGCTAAGTAACAAATATGTAACTATAGCCATGAGAAAGAAGCACCATTTGCATAAATATGCCTTAGGTAATTAGAAGCCAATGATGAGCCTATGCTTGGAATATGTATGAGGCTAATTATTAACCTTTATAAGCATGGAGCTTACAGCAATAAAGTTGGATTAGTCATGATCAATACTGTGGTCGTGTGATACTTTTCCCGTCGTCCGCAACAAATGGTGACCTCCGACGTGATAATTTAAAGAAACGGGGGAATCCACGGTTGGGATGGCATAGTGTCGGAGCCTTAGCAGCGAGGCTGGTCAAAAAGTCAAATTGAGGAGTGACTTGGACCTGGAACTGGTCAAAAAGTCGGCAGAATTAGCGACTTCGGACCCGGATCAAAAAGTGGGCAACTGCAACTTCGGATCCTTAAAGCGTCACTTGGGACGAGTTCCACCGTACGTGCTGCCGGACCCTGGAAGGCTGCAACAGCGCGCGCTGATAAAGGTATGGATAAGGGAAGCGGCATATAGTTGAATTCTCTCTGAGAGAGATTCTAATTATGATGAAAAAGCCCTTAAAGGGTTATTAATCCTCACAGCTCAAGCTGCCTTTGAGGTGGGGGTGGCTGCTAATTGAAACAGAGAAATTTATAAGGACTGAGCAGCGAAACTGAAAGCAAAGAGAGCGAGTCAGTTTTTCAGCTTTTATTCATTATCTCAACAATCGTGCCGGCAGTGAATTTCAAAGTGCAGGCTTCTGCCCAATCGTCAGCCAGCGGCCCCAGCAGCAGTTTGTCCTTCAACAGTTCTAGCTCTATGCAGGACGCCAGGGAAGCCACTGCCAGCTGTGCCTCCCCCCGCGGCGAGCTCTCCACCACCCCCCCCGCTACCGTTTTTCCCGCCGCCGCTTCTAAAGCTGCTGCCCTGTTGCCACCTGGAGCCGTGCCCGGCCCCGATGTACTGCCGCATGGACCCGGTCCTCCCACCTTTCCTGTCTTCGCATCGATCCGGGAGTCGCCCCGAGCTGCCTTAGCCAGAAGCCGCGCCGTTTCCGCCCGCCGTTGCCACGGCCCCCCCCCCCCGCCGCCATGCGCTGCCTCCGTGCGCTGTTGGCACCACCCTGCCCTGCCTGCCCGACCGTGCCCGCCGCTACCCCATTCGCGAAAGTGATTCAGCATGGAGTGCTCCAAATTCCAAGGAAAGGAGCTCAGTTGTCATCCTTGAAAAGTTCAGACAGAGATATAGCTGGCAGCAGTCCAAGCCATTGGCAGAACAAAGACTTAACTAACAGCGAAACTGACATTAAACCGAGTGGTAAATATCCTACAAATATTACCCTATCTCCCTATAAGACCTCCAAGCCAGAAAATGCAGAAAAATCTAACAATTCACTCCCAGAAAAAGAATTCGGAACAAGGTTGATGTTATTCCTGCAGGTGACTGTGACATCACCAGAAGTTTATTGAGCACAATTTCTTAGTATTTTTAAGGCACATAATTTTAAAAAATTAAAAAGCACATAATTATAGAGGGTAAGAAATCAAGTATAATGGGTTGTGTGACCTTTGGATTACTCACTAGGCATTGACAAAAGAAAGCTTATCTATCTGGTTAGTTTATCTGTTTAGTTAAGAAACTCTAACATTATAAGGTATTAGAAAATTATTATCATTATAAGGTACTAGAGAATTATTATAATTTCTTGGTTCGTAGAACGCAGTAACATGGAACTCAAAAGTATGTATGTGTGACAGTGTGTATGGTGGTGGCCACCATGTGAATGAGAATGAATGAAAGTGTATGCATGCATGAGTGTGAATATATGAACACAAATACACAAACACCTTTGGATGAACAAATGCACAAACACCTTTGGATGAACAAATACACAAACACCTTTAAATACAATTTTGCTGATACTACTAACTATTTTATCAATTGTTCCTTGCATATTCAAATGTATATAGAACATATTGGCAAAAACAATGAATAATATGTTTTTAACATTATCAAAAGAAAACGGGGGAATTGTGGTAAATATTGTAGAAACTTGGTTAATAGAAAGAGGAAAGATTCTATAGCTCTGGTCTCACGCTAAAGCAGAGAAACTATCAGAAGGTCACTGTGTTTGTGAAGCTGCATTGTCTGATGTGAAGCTGTATTGTCTAAGAAACTGCATACGTGATAGAAAGAATAAAACAACAGGATGGGAAAAGTAGTGAAAGTAGCTAAGTAACAAATATGTAACTATAGCCATGAGAAAGAAGCACCATTTGCATAAATATGCCTTAGGTAATTAGAAGCCAATGATGAGCCTATGCTTGGAATATGTATGAGGCTAATTATTAACCTTTATAAGCATGGAGCTTACAGCAATAAAGTTGGATTAGTCATGATCAATACTGTGGTCGTGTGATACTTTTCCCGTCGTCCACAACAGACAGAAAAAACAGTCTAAGAGCCCTAGATGTGGCCAACAGCATCTTCCTAAGGGCTTGTGTGTGAAATCTAATCTCAAGGGCATCTCTGCCAGCTGCCTTTGTAACACAAATTGATTTCTTGTCACAGATGTACATGCATTCTGTAATGGAACTTGCTGCTGCACCACCATCATCTTGAGAAGCCACCACTCCCACATCTGAAAGCTCCAGCATGAGCAGTTCATACAGCAGCAGAGCCCAGCAGTGACAGAGGGGAGAGGAGAAGAGCCTTGAGAAATGGAGTACTTCTGCTATCTGATAACTGTGGATGGGACCAACAGGTGCAGAACCCTAAGCTACTCTCCATTCTGCTGCAGGACTTTCTGAATTACTGCCTGAAGACAGTTGATGGTCTGCCAAGGAATTCTGCAGGTAAAATGTGAAGTGGCTGCAAGTGAAACAGCTGTCTGAGGTATCGGTTTTCTCCAGCTAAACTCAAAGGCATCGGGTGGCTCCCCTCTCATATTAATCCCCAGTCTGGGTGCTTTTCAAGTGAAATCTAGGTAGAATCATAGAATAGTTTGGGTTGGAAGGGACCTTTGAAGGTCATCTAGTCCAACTCCTCCACTGTGAGCAGGGACATCACCAAGTAGATCAGGTTGCTAACAGCTCATCTGACCTGACCTCGAATGTTTCCAGGGATGGGACACCTATCAGATCTCTGGACAACCTATGCCAGTGTTTCCACACTCTTGTCATAAACAGTTTCTTCCTTAGACCTAATCTGAATCTACCCTCTTTTGATTTGTAAGCATTTCCCCTTGTCTTATTTCAACAGGCCCTGTTAAAAAATGAGTCTGTCTTTCTTAGAAGCCCACTGGGATTCACCTGGGAAGCCAGGAGCCTCTGTAAATCAGCACAGCCAGTCGCGTTCCAAGGTTGGATCAGCTCCTTCTGATGGGCAAATCCCATCTCTTCCAACTACTTCCAAAAAGTAACAAATATAGAGGTAGAGACATACATACAGAGGTGCCATGAGAATGTCCAATAAATGTGCAAATATGGATTTGGGTTTTTTTTTCTTTTGAATTATTATGGCAGTTATGCCAGTAGTGCCTCCTCCATGGGTTCTGTGCAGTGCCTTGGGCCATTTTCTGACCCCCAGGAGTTGCCCCCAGCTGCATTCCCTGATCGCTGGTTGTTGCATCTCAAAGCACTGTTGCACTGGGTTCTGAGTTCTGACTTTCAGGCTGGAGCACCAAACTGTGTTGTTGTTTATGAGCAGATGTCCTGTCTCCATTTCACTGGTCTTGGAGCAACCATATTTGCTAAGAAGTAGGGCTTTGAAAGCAGAGAACAAAACTGGTTGGAAACTGTTGGGTGGGAGCAGGCTGCTAGAGCTTTACGTTCCCTCATTTTGAAGAAACAGTTGTGTTTTCCGAATGGAGGATGAATGGGGCTTTGGGGAGTGTTTTTTTAAGGCACGCATGTTTGCAACCATTTCCTGATCCCCAATCTAAAAGAAAGTGTGGTCACCCACCAAATGTTTAAAGCTTCAAGATTATGACATTAGTAAGTGGGAAAAGTTGTGGCTGTAGATCCAAACAAGTTGAATATTCCTAATGTAACCAAGCAATTCTTTAGAATTGTTCTTTCAGTCTGACACATAGAGACTATTTGTGTTATGACAATATGCAGCCTCCCAGATTTCATAATCAGAGTTCGACCAGCTGCTCTCTCTCCATTGCACTTTGTGGACTTATGCACTAGTCAGTGGTGATCTTGGGGCTGGAGAACACCCAGCTTGGAAAAAACTTGTGTAGAGCCATTCAAAAATACTATCATGGCTTCAAAACTAGACAAAGTTCTAGATCTTTATCCATTCATTTTATGTTTAAACTGAGAAAGGAAATCACAGGTAATTAAAAAAAAAAAAAAGAAGAAAGAAAACAACATCAACAAAAAACCCCACAAACAAACAAAAATCCCCACCAGAACCAAAACCAAGCCCCTGACAGTTCCAGTATTAACCTTTCCTTCAGATGACATTTAACTCTGTGGTTTCTAGATCTAGTATGACTAGTTCTCTATCCCTTTGCTTTCTTAGGCAGAGCATCAGTGCTTATGTAGGTGTGTGACCTAAATGACCAGTGACAAAGCAAATGATTCCTTAGAAGCGCTTTATACTCAGACTGTTTGTCCATGTTCCTCAGAAGAGGCAGCTACAGGATGGAGTACAGTGAACTCAACAATTCTTCATGGCAGTGGCTGCTTTTGTAGCAGCGGCTGTCATAAATTACTGAGCTGAGCCTGCCCTTCTGAGGTCAAAAAAACATGCAGGTGCAAGTGTTGGAAATGTTGTATCTAAGTAGTTGTTATTATTTCACACTTCAGGTTTGAAAGGCTGAGAAACCCGGAACACCTGATCCTGTGGGAATCTCCCCTCCCCACTCTGCGGAGCTTCAGCACCGCGGACAGCGGCTGCTGGGGTCCCGGCGGGGTCCCGGAGGGGTCCCGGTGCCCGCCCGCCCCAGGGTGCGCCTAGGCCGGGCCAGGAATGAAGTGGAGGAGCCTGTTAACAAACTGCAGCCTGCTATTCCACTTCTCTTTTGCGCCTGGATAGAATCCTGTATCTGCTTCTTGATTTTCCCTGCAGGGAAGACACTTTCAGCACAACGTAGCAAGTGAGGTTGAAAATGCCTCACACTCTGGGGATGTTGCTTGGTCAGGAAGGGCCTTCCATAAGCACCACAAGAAGAAAGTGGAAATAAAAAGTATCAGCCTTTCTTACAGAATAACCTTGTCCCCCCATTTTTATCAATTTTGATGCATGGGAAAGTTCTGTTTAAATATTCATTTTTTAAAAATAGGATGCTTTAAATTGAAGGAGTAAAAGTATTAGATATGAACGGCATTGTAGGATTATGGAATACAGGCACAAAATTTTAAGAAATGCAAGAAAACTTGATGGCCCAACATGAAGCCAATTTACGCACAGGCACTGTATTTGCATCTTCAGCTGTATGATCCTGTGTGTCAGTTTTATTTCCTCATAGCATCACCAGCCGGCTCGAATACAGGATCTCCACACAATCCTTTCAGACATCTATAGAACCCTCCTACACAGGCCCTGCTTGAACAGCCTAAAGAATAACACACTATTTGTTCCTGAGCTGGACCATCTCAGATTTTAAGGGGGCACATGAAAAATACTGAGTTTTGATGAATCACCAGCTGAAAACTGCCTTACAATCATAAGGCAAATGTAACAGCAGGTAATGTAATGACAATACCATCACAGATGATTGACTCTACCTCTGTTCCTGGCTCATACACCAAAATATGGTCTCCTCCCAGAGATGCCAGATGAGGTGAGGCTGGGGCTCCCTAACAGGAGGCAGGCAGGATTTTGAAGAGCCATTTATAACCTTAGTCAGAGGGTTAGAAGGTCAAAAGAAAGGAAAGGAGGTACTGCAGGGCTTTTTCTTGCTTCTCAAAGTGTAAATGCCTATGACTTTCAATCCTACATGTCACTAATTTTAGACACACTCTCCTTGCTCACCCACAATCCACCTGAAAATATTAACCACAAATCCGTAGCAGCTGCCATCCTTTCTTATAGGAAATAAGCATAAAAATGTCTTCACCACCTGTATTCACATACAGGCAAACTGTGGCTGAAATCTGTAGAACTACAGAGGGTCACTTACTGTACTGCATTGGCAAGAGGCTCTGAAAAGGAAGAAGTGGAAACCACTGGAGCAACACTCACATAAATGTAGTGTACAGTTCTGCAGGCTTGCAGAGGAAAATTCAGACTTCCTTGTACTTCCAGCTTTAAGCTGCACAGTAGTGAATGGGGATCGGGACAAACTGTAGAAGCCTTGCCAAGGCTTTCACACTGGCAGTTTCTCAACAGCTTTGTCACTGCTGGTACCCAAAGAGGTCAGCTTGGGTATGCCCATATAGGCTGGAACAGCAGCTCTGGATTGCAGAGCTATTCTTATAGCAATAAGGTGACTCTTATTTTGGCAAACCATACATATATAAGGAAAATGGATGTAAGCTAGCATATTTAATTATTTAAGGATTTGAGATTTCAGCACAACTTATGCCTTAATTGTTTTTGAAAGCAGAAGATGGAGAAGAAGCATCTCTTGGTGCTACAAAAGCTAGAAGCAACACAGGAATGGCACAGCTTTCAAACATATAATATGCAACAAACTAACTGCAAGTCTGTGCTTGGAAACAGAAATTTAGGAAAAACACATCAGCTGAGCTTTTAAAGCATAAGCAAGAACATCTTAGAAAAAAATGCAGTGCTAGTTAGAAAATAAATATATCTCACAGTTCAAGGAATCTGGTTCTAATTTGCTGTAAATAGAAGGGATTTTTGATCATAGTAGTGCATATTTTATTATTCAGCCTTAGTCAGTGGTAGAAGAGACAGAATTAGGACTTCTAATCTTCCTTCATAACTCTTTTGCAGGGTTTTCCATGAAGTAGGTACTGAGCATCTAACTGAATCTCAAGCAGACTATGTCCTACATACAGTTCTGGGAAATGATGTTTCAGTGTAAACCATGAGTTATCCTGATATGTTTTTCTTTCTGGAATACAAATGCTTCCCAAAGCTCCAGTCTGATTGAAACTAAATCATGGGCCAAAAAAATTTCAAAGTAGTATTGGCTAAAAACACTTGGTTGGCTGCCCCTCAAAAGGCAAGCATAGACTAAGGTGATTTATTCACAGAATTCACAGAAATTTGTTCTTACACCTGTGACCAAAAGATGTGCAGCAAAGATATCAGTCCTTGACTTGCAGTTGATACTAACAGGATTGCTACAGCTGTGACAGGCTCAATATGTCATGATGGTATCTACTGAGTGGATGAGAGAAAGATGGCATCTAATCCAAAAGTTCAAGCTGAAACAGTGGTAATAAGAATTCTGAGAAGAAGAGACAATCATAGTAGGACTGGTAATTCATCTTATGGACCGGGTTGAGAGATGCACTCACTTTGAATGTCTCTGTGACAGTGTTGTCTGACACTGTTTCAATTTGTTAGGTTTTTCTTAAATACATCCCGACCTATAAAACCAAAATTTGTTGAAAGCCTTTTTAGTTCTCTTTTTATGTTATTAACAATTCCCTAAATTCAACACTTTTAAAAAATATTTCCACACTCCGCAGTGTTTCTCTACAGCTGTCCCAAATTTTCTCTCATTCTGGACATTGAGGTATAGTCACCTTCTTTTAACCAATCTTCTTTTAAAGAGATATCTTTTATTTCTATTTCAGACATAGGATTTCATCCATGCAAGAGCAATCCCAGTCTTGATCTCTGCAGTTTATAATTAAGATCAGTGTTTTACTTCAAAACAATCAGAAATAATGTTCTTAGTTTATACTTTGTTCTAGTTAATTTTTTATCTCTACATAAAGATAGCCAAAGAACAACTGTACATAAGATTCAAGTATAAACTATCCTATTTCTGTTCCATATTCTGATATTATTAGCATCCATCTGCTCCAGCATAGGGTATTTCATGGGCTTCAGGTGGATGTCTGCTCCACTGTTACCTTCTGTGTGCTGCAGGGGGACAGTCTATCTCACCATGGCCCTCCAACTTCTGGCAGCTTCTCACAGAAACCCCTCTTGTAACACCCCATACTACTAAACCCTTGCCGTGCAAACTCAATACAACTGATTATAATGAAAGCACAGTAAGAATGGGTTTCCCACAGTCTCACAAGCTCCCCTCCTCTTGACTCCCATGCACTACACTCTGAGATGGAGAAGCTGTGCCATCTTGTGCCAGCTACACACAGCAGTTTTTGATAGGCAGTTTTTCACTGACGTAATCTGCAACAGACCATACCAAGCCAGTTCAGGCTTAAACCATTTGTATCATCCTCCTGGTTAAAAAAATGGATTCTTTACTGGTGACAGCCTCGAAGGCCTGTGCTTTCATGTGTCAGCCAAAAACTGTATGCAAGATACTTACCTTTGACTAGTGGAGTACTGTACCTCAAAGGATAGCTGTTCAAAGAGCAACAGCCCCCCTCTCAGGCCAGAATCTGTTCCTGCTCCTAACCCTATGTGCTTCCCGCTCTTACCTTGCCTCTGAGAGTTCTCAGCTTTCTGCTGGGTCTGATGCCCAAACCAAACCAAAACCACTCCGCAAAGACTCGAAAAATTCCTGACCTGCAGTATTGCCTCAAACCCCAACAATACCGCACCAGTTTCCGACACCAGAGGCCAACGCAGCAACTGTTCCTTATAGCATTCCCAGAATGAGGAACAGGGAGATCTCAACCTCCCGGGCCCTTGCTCTCTGACACTGACATCTTGTGACCAACTGCGCATATGACAACACTTCTGCTCTGATGGAGATGGGATATTCGTTCCATGTTACATCCCCTTCTTTTTTTTCCGGTGGGATCAGTGGATCTCTTCACAGGCCAGATAGATCAGAGTCAGAACTAAATGCAGACCAGATACAAATCCACTCAGGCACTGAGATGTAAACAGACAATGCTGTGAAATCTATATTTCCTGTGGTCCTATGTGGTAGGTCACAGTGGAAACAAGTTTTCTCTGGCTGCAAAGAAATGTTTCAACTTTCCAAGCTGGACTCAAGCCAGGTAAAACCAATTAGGAGTCTATTTCCTCTCTACATGAAACTATCTCATCCTCCCTTGTTTCTTCAGATGGAAATATATGCCCAAACACTGTGGTACCTCCGACAGTTGGAAAGGTTACCACTTCATCTAGAAGGGTTTTTTCCAGTTTTACAACATAAAACAACTAACTGTTCTCATCTTGTCAGGTCAACCATTATCAACATACTACTATACCGTTCTGTACTTAAAAATCCATTGTGCTCTATGCACACCTATATCAGCTACTTTTTTTTTTCTGATGAGATCCCCATATGCTAAAAATCATTAGAGCCAGCAATGCACTGAACTTCACTATATTTAACTGTCCTTTACAGGAAGCAGGACATTTAGTCATCCACCAGCAGGGAGTGTCCAATTACACCTGATATGCCACCAGAAGCTCTGGATGCCATCCAGAGCGACCTGGACAGGCTGGAGGAGTGGGCCCATGGGAACCTCATGAGGTTCAACGAGGCCAAGTGCAAGGTGCTGCAACTGGGTCAGGGCAGCCCCCAGCACCAATATAGCCTGCTGCCCTACATGGGCCGGACCCTGAAGAAGCTGGTGCGGGACCTCTTGGAGATGTGCCAAGTGGTGTCCCAGAACACCTTCATGCCAGAGCTGCACCCAGCCACTGGGAAGCAGGGCACCATCGAGTCCTGGTGTGACCTGGGGCACCACATCGTGTACCAGCTGGTGGTGTTCCTGAGGTCACCCCCCAGGCACTCTTTCCGGCTGCAGCTGCCCAATGGGATGGATATGCCAGAGAGGTCCTCCGACATCTATGTGTTGCTGGAGTGCTCGTGCTCCAGGATGATGGGGATACGTTGTGCTTTGTCCACCCCACGCACAACAATCAGCCCTCGCGCCTGGTACACACCCTCTGCACAGACTCCCACTTGGAGGTGAAGAAAATCGCCGGCTGGGTGCAGAATTTGGTAGAATCAGCCTGGGAGCGTTTGCCTCAGTGGCAAGACTGGCAGCTCCGGCTGCTGCCGTCCTCCCGCTCCTGCAGGCTACTGCTGACCGGCCCCTGCGAGGTGCGGCTCTGCGCTGTGCTGCTCTTGGCACTGCAGCAGGGCCGCCCAGGTACCTTCCTGGTCCTGGAATAGGCAGTTGCAGCTTTTCCACTTGCTGCTTTAGTCTGGGGTAGAGTTAGAGTAGGATAGGCCTAGATTAAGTATGGGGTTAGATTTTCCCTTTTTGCTTTTCCAAGGGCTGGTTTAGGCTTGGGTAGAGTTAAGCTTTGTATGGCCTTAGTCTCGTAGGGGGTTAGATTTTAACTTAGTGCTTTCCCAAGGGGTGGTTTAGTCTGGGGTAGAGTTAGGCTAAGATAGATAGTCAGGATAGGGTTAAATATTCTGCATCTACTCAACATGGGTTTCTATTTTTCTACCTTTCTGCTTCAAACTTGAAAATAAAGAGAAAGGTTGAGCAGAGCTTGTGAAGTGTCAAGGCCTTTTCTTCTTCTCATACTGCCAGGCTGGGGCTGGGGCTGCCTGGGGAGTTCTCTCTCCTTTTTCTCTCTGTCTCTCCCTCGCCTCTTTAGTTCC